TAAGATATATATTCGTCTTCCTTCTAGGTTCATTGCCTTTTTTGGTTGAGGTTAAACATCGCCATGTTTTCAAATATCGCGATGCAAGTCACGTTCTCTCTCCTCTTACTTAGTAATCGCCTCCTCTACCCATTGTTTACAACACGCTTACAAAGAAAAAATATCCCACCCCTCTACTTGAGACATAAAATACAAAAGTGTATTGTGCCTTGTCGTCACAGGAAACAAAAACGGTGGGGTCTAATGTTGTTAACCCTTGTCTTTCTAAATTATTTTTAACTTGTTAAAGAAATTGACTGTTTAGTTAAGGATTCTGACGCGAATATGTTTCACAAGGGACGATACTCGTGGCTGTAAACAAGTCTGTTCTAATTTTAGACCAGTTATCTTTCCTCTCGTTTCTCTATTAGGGAAGACACGCGACACGACTTTTAAAATGTAAACAAACGTGCACGAGGTGCACTTAAAATAAACCCCGCTGCGAAAATGACAACGGGATGGTGACACTTTTTGAAAAACACTCTTTCATGTAAATAAAATAAGGGTCGCTTTTGTTGTCGCCATGATAATGTATACCTATAACTTCTCTCCGCCTTTACCGACCTTTACCGTGTATGTGTGTGTGTGTGTGAGTGAGTGTGTGTGTGTGTGTGTATGTGTGTGTGTGTGTGTACGTGTATCTCAAAAAAGTGTATCATGTCAACACCTGGACAACCAGTCATAGTCAAAAAGGCCTACTTCATTACAGATCTATAGGAAACCCCTCTTTACATGTACTTACATTAGGAAAAGTAAACTCGTTTGAATCAAAAAATGTATTTAAATATATAGAGTTATAGAACCTTAAAGTTAACAGATGCTGAAAAAATAAAATAAAAAAATAAAATTAAAATCCGCCTCCTCACCCACCTCACTCAGGTGGTAGAGTCTTTTACTATATATCCTTTACTCCTACTCGTGTTCCCCCTTCACCCACCTTCTCCACCTTCACCCACCTTTCACCCTTCACCCACCTGCTCACCCTTCAACCACCTGTTCACCCTTCACCCACCTCACTCAGGTGGTAGAGTCTTTTACTATATATCCTTTACTCCTACTCGTGTTCCCCCTTCACCCACCTTCTCCACCTTCACCCACCTTTCACCCTTCACCCACCTGCTCACCCTTCAACCACCTGTTCACCCTTCACCCGCCTACTCACCGCTCTCACCCATATTACTATGTATACGTTTAACATACTCGTACCAGAAACTTAAAAACCCATGACACTGTACGTTTAAGTGTTAGTGGAAAGTGTAGTACCAGCTGTTGTACAACTGATGCACAGCTGTCGCCTGATGGTTAATGGATACACTGGGTCGAGGCGAGTCGATCAATACATTCCCATTAAAAAACGCGCAGCGCCGGGGAGGTTCACGGGCGGATCGATAAGTAACAGGTGTGGCTGATCGTTATCTTTAATGAATGTTTTATTTTCGGTACACGTTCGTTGTGTTGGAGAATGGTCCCTATACAAAGTACACGCTAGTGTTAGTCTTTTATTTTAAACACCATACAACAAAGTAATTAAAATCAAACTAATTAAAATGAATTTCAAACAAATAAACAATAAGTAAACAACAATTAAACAAATAAACAAATTTAAAATTAAAAAAATAATAATTTAAAAAAAATTTAAAAATTTAAAAATTTAAAAAATTAAAAAATTAAAATCCAATTACGTAACTAGTTAATAATAATTAAACTAATTAAAAATTAAAATTTAAAAAATTAAACTAATTAAAATGAATTTCAAACACATAAATTATACAAAGTAATTAAATTAAACAACAAGTAAACAACAATTAAAAATAAAATTTAAAAATAAAAATTAATAATTTTAAAAAATTTAAAATTTAAAATTTTTTTAAAAATTTAAAAAAATAAAATCAAATTACGTAACTCGTTAATAATAATAATTAAACTAATTAAAAAATAAAATTTAAAAAATTAAACTAATTAAAAAATAAACAAACAAAATACAAACAAATAATCAAATTACGTAACTCGTTAATAAAAATTAATTAAAATCAAATTAATTAAATTCAAACTAATTAAAAAACTCATTAAAATTACGTAACTAGGTCACTGATTACGTCACAAGGTCACTGATTACGTCACAAGGTCACCGGTGGTGACCTACTGACCTACTCCGCATCCGCATCCCCCACCCTAGGGTGGGTGAGTATTTTACTATATGTCATTGTACCTCCGGCTCACCCACCCTCACCCACCCGCTCACCCACCTCACCCAGGTGGGTGAGTATTTTGCTATATGTCATTGTACCTCCGGCTCACCCACCCTCAACCAGTTGGGTGAGTATTTTGCTATATGTCGATGTACCTCCACCTCCCCCAGGGAGTATTTTACTATATCTCGTTGTACCTCCGGTTCACCCGCCTCACCCAGGTGGGTGAGTATTTTGCTATATGTCATTGTACCAGGCTGGGGGAGTATTTTCCTATATAGCCTTTGTTCCGCATCCGCATCCGCATCCGCATCCCCCTCCCAAATACTAATCAAAAGTGACCTAATATACTACTTATGATGTCTATATTTTATCAAACTAACAACAAAAATGCATTCTTGGTGGATTATTTTTATGGTAGTGCTTTCACTGCGATGGCCAGTTTATGTTATATTATGATACATGCTGACCTATTTGCATTGCTGTGATTTAAGAATAAATGAATTTAATTCAATATATCCGTTCAACCATAAAATAATATGTCCGCAGAAAATTTTGAAGTAATTTGCTAAGGACACATTAAACAAATTTTCTGCCTGAAATCTTAGAACAGGTATGAATTTGTGCAATCAGCTATTCTAAGATATAACATTTATAATTTTGGGTTAGTTAGAACATGGTCATTTAAATATGAAAGTGAGCACAGCATTTCTTGAATCTTAGTTGGTGTTACGCTATGTGTAAAACATTGACAATTTTGCTTTTTAAAACGAAGAATTAAACTTGACATAATTCGCTGGTCTGATTCTAACTTTAATCAGTACTTTGAAAAACGAACTCATTATTTTCTTTTTAAAAGACCTATACACTCATTTTTATCTCTCTCTCTCTCTCTCTCTCTCTCTCTCTCTCTCTCTCTCTCTCTCTCTCTCTCTCTCTATATATATATATATATATATATATATATATATATATATATATATATATATATATATATATATATATACTAGGCATGCTGACCAGCTTCGCGTAGGGTTTCGAAAACATTGAAAATTTGAATGCTTCATTAATTCGCCCGAGGGTCGGTCTACGACCTCAGGAGTTATGAAGAGGTTCCTACGTGGACATTTTTTTTTCGATTTATAGCTCATATAAGGCGCCGGTCAGTCGAGGTCAGTTTTGACCCCCTCAACGTAGACTTTTCGGCCAACCGGCCCCCGTGTTCTGTCGCCCCAAGGCAAGATCCTGCCAAATTTGAAGCGCCCGACAACTTTGCTTTATATATTATAGAGATTAGCAAATTGCATAGATAAACAAAGATTTCAATAAAGTAATTAAGGCCTGAAATACTTTAGCATAGAAATGTATTATTTGAATAGATTCTAGATCTAGGTAGGGTCTACATCTGTATAAGTCTAGTTTTTCCGTAGATCTAGATCATCTAAATCTAGATCTAGAATCTCTAGATCTAGGTGATCTAGAATCTCTAGATCTAGATGATCTAGAATATCTAGATCTAGAATATCTAGATCTAGAATCCTAATAGAATTTTTTTTTAAAGTTTTGCCCGAGCAAAATTGTATTGTATAAATTTTATAGCGTACGTAGATCTAAATAATATTTGAATGAAATAGTTCATTTCTTTTGATTCTAAACACGGCAGATGACGTCATTAGTTAATGTATAAACATTAGTGACGTCACTGTTTTATGCATTCTTTTTCACAACTATAAACGCTTTTCCTGTTGCATAATTAAAACTGTTTTTCTACATTCGAATACGCCTTCCTTTTTTATTTTTCTTCTTTAAATAAAATTGTGGTTATACATTTAAAACATCTACCATATTATTTTCAACAAAAGTCCGTAGCAAGTTCTCCATATATCGCTGAAGATTCTGAAGTGATATCCGGCGAAAATATTTTGCGGACAGACAGAGAGAGAGAGAGAGAGAGAAGTGCGCACGTGGGCTTTTATATATTAGGATATATATATATATATATATATATATATATATATATATATATATATATATATATATATATATATATAATCCGGTGAAAAAAAATTGATCTTCGCAGGGGTGGCGCCCCGGTAGTGCGCGATTCGCTTCTGCACTAAACACTGTATATAAAAATAAAAGTCGATTTAGGTTTGACACCGTTCATCCAATCGCCATGAAATTTTGAGAAGTTGATTAGAATACTCCAGGGGAGGTTTCTGCCAAAAACGGTTTGGCACCCAGAGTTCCAGACCGGATATCTTAGCACTTGGAATCCGTAAATCGGGCGTCGTGCATTGCGGTTAAGGGGTACTACTATATTCAGCGTTAGAACTCCAAAAGGCGCCGGCGCCGGCGCCCTGGCTATTGTGTTGCCAGAATCGTCTTGGGTTCCCCGGTGACCACTATGGCGCCTATGTCAGTTTTTAAAAATGCTATACATTAGAAACACGAAGGGTACCAATACTCGTTGCCTATTTCGAATCAGGCGCGTCATTCGGCGCCCCTACCGATAATCCCTAGAGCGCTATGGCGCCTACATTAGTTTAAAAAAGCGCGAAAGACTATGCATAACATGGGGTACTGTAGTCGTTAACTAAACATTATCACGTGCGTCATCCAGCGCCCCGTTAGGATGCGGCTTGCGCTCTGGGCTATTCGTAGAGTGCTATGGCGATTTCGTGCGTTTTAACAGTGCGATAGACTATAGAGAGGTTGCACGTGATGTCATGGATTTGTAACCATGTAAACGTCCGCCATTTTGGGTCTACATTCAAAATGGTGGTCTGCGCTGTGAAAGGTTGTAGTTCTCGCTATGGAAATTGTAAAGGCGTTTCTTTATTTCGACTGCCTAAAGTTATATTACACCAAGGTGAAACAGATCGGCAGTTAACTGAACGTAGACGTCGTACATTTTTGGCCAATATTTACCGAAGCGGTGTGAGTGAAGCAGCTGCAAACAACATTCGGATCTGTTCTCGACACTTTGTTTCAGGTAAAGAGTTAAATGATTTACCTTTAATAAAATGTTAGGTCATGGCAAATACTAATATATCGAAAGTTATAAAACGTAATTTGTATTAGAGTCTAGTCTCGTGAATATATATAGTCAATATTCGATATATTATATAGTAATATATTGTATTATTTTACCATACTCATATTGACGAGTCTAGCTAGAGTAAGGCCTAGCTGGGTAGCTAGATCTAGTTAAATACTCTATCTACAACTACTACTAGATCTAGTACTGAAACTTATCAACTGTCTAATTATTATTTAACTAATTATAGTCTCATAAACACTTATAATATATGATAAGCATAATAACTTTACTATTGTATTACGGCATAAATAATTTTTTTTGGTTTCTGCAACTGAAATTATTGGAAACAGATTGGGTCACAGGTTACACTAGTTCTAGGTTAGGCAGACATAGAACTCTAGGATTAACTAATTATTACTTAAATTAACTTTACAAAATTTACACTAGATTCTAAATATTTTATCAGAGTAAATAAAGAATAGTAAGTAATAGATCTAGTAGACTTAAATATAACTTTATTTTTTAAACTGTATATCATATTGAGTCTAGTAATTATTAATAACATATTATATATATTATAGTTAGTCATATTTCTCATATTTGGATAAGCTTTTTAAAAGTAGGCCCTCTATTCACGTGTAGTCTTTTTAAAAAAAATATTCTATTTATCCAGGTAGACCAGCAAACTTCAGAGATGAAACAAATGTTGACTGGGCTCCCACTCTGTTCCTTGGACATGATAATATTTCTATGGCAAAAGTGAAGTTATCAGTCGAAAGACACACACGTACATTAGAGAGACAAGCAAAGAAACGTGCTTATGAAGCTGCAGAGGCCCTTTTGGTACTACCATTGGGCAGTTCAACAAATATCCAGTGCTTTAATAATCAAACAGCCAATACTTCCCCAGTGGATATGGGTGAAGGTAATTCAACCATTACTTCCCCAGTGGATATGGGTGAAGGTAGTTCAAATATTCAGTGCTTCAATAATCAAACAACCAACATTTCCCCAGTGGATATGGGTGAAGGCAATTCAAATATTCAGTGCTTCAATAATTAAACAAACCACACTTCCCCAGTGGATATGGGTAAAGATAAGGCAAATATTCAGACAATCAACACTTCCCAATTGGCTATTAGTCATCAATATGCAAAGGATAGCACACAAACTATCACTAGCAGCATTGGTGTCAATATAGATTCTCTTTTTTTTGAGATGCAACAGTTAAGGTGTGAGAATTATTTGCTTCGTGAAAAAGTATTATGCTTTGAGCTAACCCCAGAGTCTTTCATTAATGACGATGATAAAGTCAAATTCTACACAGGTATTCATTCTTATGGTGTACTGATGCTTATTTTCAATAGCAGTAGTGGCACTATAAATCATAACCACAATAATTGTCTCACCAAGTTTCAGGAATTTGTGCTAACATTGATGAAATTAAGGCTTAGTCTGCCGCTGCAAGATCTGTCATACAGATTTAAAATTTCACTGTCAACAGCCAGTAGAATTTTTGAGAAATGGGTTCGCCATATGGCTCACAACCTTAGACAATTTATAGTGTGGCCTGAAAGGGAGGACATACAAAAAACTATGCCTAATTGTTTCAAGCGTTCCTTTGGTGCAAACACAGCAGTTATTATTGATTGTTTTGAAATTTTTATTGACAAACCATCAAGTCTAGCTGCTAGAGCAATCACCTGGTCACAATATAAACACAATACCATTAAATTTCTTATAGGCATCACTCCACAATGTACTATATCTTTTATATCTAAGGCTTGGGGTGGTAGGGTTAGTGATAAATACTTAACAGAAAATTGTGTCATTTTAAACAAACTTTCACCTGGAGATTTAGTTTTGGCTGATAGGGGATTTACAATAGCAGATAGTGTTGGGCTTTATTGTGCAAAGCTTGCTATTCCTGCTTTTACAAAGGAAAAAAAACAACTATCAGCTTTGGAAGTGGCTGAGACAAGAAAGATTGCAAATGTTCGGATTCATGTAGAAAGGGTTATTGGGTCAGTTAGACAAAAATACAAAATTCTAAGTGACACTTTACCACTGGATTATTTAAATGAAAAGGGCAATCCTTTAATAGATGATATAGTGACCACTTGTTGTGCATTGATTAATCTTTGTCCAGCTATTGTGCCTTTTGATTAATTTGAGTATTTAAAAATGCCATTTATTGTTGTCAGCACAATTTATTGTTACCAGGTTGTATTTTAATATTTAATAAAAAATAAAAACACATTTCATATTTCATTTTTATTTTAACTTATTCAGAGTAGGCTTATTTCTTTTTGTCAGTGGTAAGCCAACAGCTTTAGTAATGCCAGATGCCTTTTTATTGGTATAATAGCATGCCAAGAGTTCAGGCAATATAATTTTCTGAAAAAATTCTGCTGCCTTAACAGAGATGCTTGACCACAAATTACTGTCAAAAAAAAATCTTTCTATGTGAACATCTTTTGTTGTCCATATGACAAAATCAGCATATGAAGACTTGGTAGCTGCCATTTGGGTCTGGATTTGATATTAGTAGCGGTGTGTGCTACTTAATTGTTTATTTGGTCCCAGACCAAGGTTTTTGGCCTCCTTATTGGATATGTCACTCAACATTTTCTCCTTAGTGCACACCTTGTCCACAGCAGTCACAGGTAACCAGACCATCTGGAGAGGCTCCTATGTAGTGCATTTCAGGATGAATTACTAGTCCACTGCAGTGGGCAGCCAAAATAACTCCAGTTTGTTGACAAAAAAGCCATGGCTCGACTGGCTTTTCTGCTGCCTTCTGTGAATGCTTGACCTGCAAAATAAGACAAGTATTAATTAACAAATTGAGGCTATAACATAAACACAAATCAAACTGTTGTAGCTGATTAAAAGAAAAAATAATTCAAGCTAGAAAACATTGGATTATTAGAATCAACAAAAATGTACAGGTCCTAAAAAGTTTGGTACCTTATAGTGGTACTAATTTTCTATTTGATTTTTTTATTTTATGAATGGGCTCATCATGGGTTTACCATCATGGTTTAAGCATGGTAAACCCATACCAAATGTTGCCATCAACTACCACTGAGCAGAACAAGTCACCAAATTTAATGTAAAATTAGTGTTTATTTTATGTGAGAATGGTTTAGAATAATCATCAATATTATTAATATTGGATTAGTAAAATCCAAAAAAAATGGACAGGTCCTAAAAAGTGGGATACCTGCCTTATACTTATACCCTGCTTTCCCCTAAGTCATTTAAATATTTAGGTAAACATCATAAGACATAATATTTAGTCTATTATTATAATAATATATAGAATCTAGTATAGAATTGACTTACTTTGGCAACAACGACGACTTTGCTTCCAAATTCTCTGCATTTTGATTGGGACACAAGCCCATCCGTAAAGTATACATAGGACTTCAGGCTTTTATAGTTTCTCATCTTTTCCTGTGTCACTTTGTTGGTCGAAAACACTAAATAGTTCACTATGTCCATGTTTTAAATTTTTGGCCAAATACTGATATCATCTACAAGCTCTTGAAGTTGACGCTTATCACTAAGAAGATACGGATCTTCAATGCATAAAAGTTCAATTTTTTAAATGTATTGTTCTTGCTCGGTAGGTGCGAGGCTTTTAACATAAGCTGAACACATTCTGGAACTAGTCTAACACAAAACTGTACTGAAGACTCCACTGCCTAGCGCTTTTATATTAAAATAATTTATATACACCGGTTGTTAAGGCCGGCGATAGGGCATCAACATGGCGGTCAACATGGCGGCGGATGTAACATCACGTGGTTTTGGTCACGTGTGTGCAACCTCTCTATAGATAAGATGTGATATTATAGTCGTTCAGTAAATAAAATCAGGCGCTTCCGCGTGCGCCGCGGTCTATCCTGTGAGCACTATGGCGCCTAGGTTAGCATTAGGGAGCACCCTATAACATTGACACTGTGGCACACAACATTCGATGATTAAATCGAGCAACGGTTCGTACGCGGCGCCCCTGAGGTAGTGTAAGTGGGGGCTCCCGAGAGCGCCCTGCTTCTTCCCTGACACCTGGGTGGTCGCTGACGTGTGTTCTACCTCACAATTACGGAGAGTGATTAACGTACACTCCAGGCTTTCATACACCACGCTCTTGGACATGCTGGGCTGTATTGTAGGTAAACCAGTGCCCCGAAAAATATGATCCAAGAAATATAGCACAGGTATTGTTTAAATCCTCTTAAATTATTATGTTACAGTAGGCGAAACAAACTATAAGTAACGTGATATAAACTGATTAAAGCATGTAGCTTATGTAAATTTAAGGTATGTATAAAGGTAATATGTTTAAGCTTGGGGTTCGCTTAGACCTGCAATTACAAGACCCTACCAAAAATAGCCTCCAAGTTGTTCGAGAGGCCCATTAAATAATTTTAAAAATCATGCACAGTGAAATTAAAATTAATTTGGTTTTAAAATCCTGTTTTTTTTGGACTTTAAACAGGAGTAAGTATTTTACACTTTAGTATTTTCAGTAATGAAACACTATTTTAAAAAAAAGACAAAAGCAATTTGGCTCTAAAGTAGTAATGGCGACATAGAAGAAGACATCCTGTAAACAAAAGAATCGCGTGGTTTATAAGAGCATACTTTTAGTTTAAAATGTTTATCGGCAAAGTTTTGTAAACAAATAACTAGGCTATGTTGGGCTGACGGAAAATCGATCACAGAATTCTGTACAGCCAGTCAATGTTTGTCTTACGCAAGTGAAACATCGTATTAACTTAGTTTTGATTAGCAGCTTTTATATCATTGATTATAAAAAAATAAATTTCTGAATTATTTTTAGGCTTAAGTTTTTATTTTATTTTTAGTTTAACGGCAGCTATGATTGCAAAATCTAATAATTATCATTAAAAAAGTTTTTAAAAACCCACGTTTTCTGATTGAACTAAAAAGTAGAAAATAAATGCTATACATCACAATAATGCAAGTGATCACTCTACTATAAGCGGTGAAAAACGTGGGGCGCCGAAGTAAAAGTTTTTTATCGGTCATTGTTAATATAAGATGTAAAAGTTATATTACTATTGATTAGATAATACTATTGAGTTTTATTAGGGAGCTTGTAGAGAGTCAACAGTATTAGAAACTGTAAGAAAATCACGGCGCCCCACGTTTTTCATCGCTTATAGTAGAGTGATCGCTTGCATTATAGTGATGTATAGCATTTATTTTCTACTTTTTAGTTCAATCAGAAAACGTGGGTTTTTAAAAACTTTTTTAATGATAATTATTTTCTACTTTTTAGTCTTTGTCTGTTTGTTTGCATTCAAATCTTGCTATTGATTTTATCTTCTCGCATTCACTTTTTTTTTGGGTAAACGAAGACAACTCGTAAAAAACACGTGCCTTTTCCAATCGACGTTTCTTCTGTGTTGCCGTTTCTTTCACCATTTTGCCCTCGCATGCAAACCATTCGACCATCACCATTCTACTTCCTTTGTACACAAACACCGCGTGACCACTACTCAGCCAATCGCGTGCTTGCTCCTTTAGTAAGCCAGAAGAGGGAAAGTACTGTTGTAACCCCGGTGTTTTTGTGTATTGTTATCCCAAGGTCGAATGCGGTATAAAAGGTGGAGTGAATAATTGTCACGGGTTAGTTGATAGCGGTTAGGACGAGGGCTGGTCTGTTGTGTGTACAGAATTGAGACGGAATAAAAGTTGGAAGTTAGACACGAAGCGTTGTTTTTACAAGTGGCGGGTTACGGCTTTGTTGTGTGAATACGTTACTGGCCACCAGTTGTTACGTTCCGGTTGTTTGTACACAAACACCGCGTGACCACTACTCAGCCAATCGCGTGCTCTCCTTCAGTAAGCCACAAGAGGGAAAGTACCGAACCTTGTTTTATATCAAATTACAATTACTAGGTTATGTCCCATTTTTTACAAATACATAGGGGTCTAAAATGATCAATAAAATGTTTCCATGGATCAATTTAGTAATAATAACAATTGAATATTGTATTGTCATCGGAAACAAAGCTTCCCTGAAAATTTCAGCGCGCTAGCTAACTGGGAAGTGCCCGAAATTTCGATCGCAAGATTTGATTGGAAAACCAGACGCGAAAGCAAGTTAAAGAAAACGTGGGAAAAAGTAAACATCCCTTTGTAGACCAAGCAAAAGAAGTAGAGTTCATATCTTTCTTGACCCAGCATATGAGAGTATGATGTCTCAGCACTATATCCAGCTGCCTTTACTTTCCCTAACGTGAGTTGGGTACCCATCAGATTTGGGTGGTCTCTGGGAAGTTCCACTGACTTGAACCCGGATTCGAACTCGAGACTTTCGGTTTAGCAGTCTAGCGCTCTATCGCTCTACTTCTACCATCACTCGAGTTGTTTATAGATTCAGCTTTTGTCGTATTTGTAATTGGAAAACATGTAATACAAATAGACTTTCCAGGAAGTTGCGACAGTTCATAGAACTGCATATTTAATTTTCTAAAGGGCGTTAAAAGAGTTTTCATCTAGGAATGAATTTTAAATGATCAAGAAATATTTAATCATCGTGACCGAGATCTTGGTAGTTGTGTAAACATTTGAACAGTTAACACAATGAGCGCACTAAGTTAGTAGGTGTATATAAAGGATTCTAATGTAACCAGCCGGCTGAGAATTGGGTAAGATCTATAAAAAAACACCTTCTAAGATACAATTACAAGACAACAATTTGAAAACAGATGCGCAAAAGTATAGGAAGGAAAGCCAAAGGTATGTGAATACTTAATGCCATTGTAGTTTCTAATTCAAACACAAAACAAAACAGAATGCTATAATGAGTATCAACAAGGTTACTATAATCACAAATCTATACTTATATTTATTATTAGAAAAAATGAACAAACTTGCTATAATCAAACCTCTACATTTATATTGATTATAAAAAATAAATAAAAGCAAAGAAAAAATACAACTAAAGTAATGTTTACTTATGTTGTAGACCTATAAGTGTTACATGACTGTATGAAACGTGTTGTACTGCAACAGATAAACAAAATGACCAGTGAAAAACAACGAAAATTAATCTGTTTCATCGTTTGTTTGATGTTTACCTTGATACCCGTGTCATGTGACCGAGGCTACTTGCGAGCTCTGAGCCA